CATATTGAGTCATATAATACCTAGACACATTGAGTCGAAGTAGCCACGCGGTCTTATGGTTGCAGTACGGATGGGTTGGCTCTATTGAGGAAGAATCGCGATCTCTCAGAATACCAACGTAAAATAGCAGCTTATGTGTGAATAGTTGCTGTGTTTCATGTAGTGAGTGTAGAGAACAGTACTTTACCACTCTTTTACCGTAACCGGGGCATTCGATTTTAATTCTCATAGTTGACAATCTATTCTACATAATGATTTCTTAAATTTACGCGAACACTACACATTGAATAAAACTATTATTTACGGATTCTATCGCGTTTAATTCAACTTTAATGCGTTTCGGTGCGTAAATCGGACCAAAAATTAATATTAAAAAACTGAAGGTAGCCTGACTAACTATGACATTGGGACGACAAATATCTCAGTCCCCCTGCTGCTGCTGTAAAGCACCCGAAACGTCGGGATAATAAAAATAAATTAAACTCGAATTAAACGCGATAAAATCCGTAAATAATAGTTTTATTCAAATCTATTCTACATTTAGATTCTTATTCGTGGATATATATATATATATATATATATATATATATATATATATATATATATATATATATATATCTACGAGCTACAGCATGAACTTTTCATCAGGTGGACTGTGGGCTTGTTTGTCACCTTTATGTACCTTACCTTGTATATAACAGAGTGTTAATACTATATTTATTTAATTTTTAATTTTGAAGCGGCAGGGCGCGGACCGCGAACTCAAAAAGGTCGTGGGTTCGAATCCGCCATTCGACTACTGGCGTGAACCACTCGTAACACAAGCAATTTAAGCTTACCACGAGTGATTAAGAGGAATATTAGTAATATTTATAGGCATTGTTAATACTCTTTTTTTAATAAAAAAATACTAGAAAATACCACTGTCACGCGTCAACAACAACGACATCCAACGCTGTACTGCCTTTTCAAAAATGTTCTATTGTGCAAGCACTTGGAAAGTTTCCCATATCGCCACACCGGTTAAGAATGGGTTGGTGAGTTAATACTTTACTTCTAATTGGTCGATTTCACGTAATGCTTCTCTCATCCCATCATCATTCTGTGAAATTTGGGTTACGCTTTCTTGAATAGATTTATCACCATCAATTGTTAGCCGACCGTTAATCAGTGCACCCTGCACTCATTCTGCCAATATAGACATTTTGGATATATATATATATATATATATATATCCAAAATATATATATAATAGAGAGAGAGAGATAGCTATAATAGATAGAGAGAGAGAGAGAGAAAGAGAGAGAGAGAGATATCAAATGCTGTCCGGTTAGTCTCGCTAAATCTCAAAAAAGGCTCGATGAAATTTTTTGTGTGTGTTTGAATGGGCCCCTAGATGGTTTAGATTCACATTTAGACCCAGTAGGGGCGGATAACTAAATTTTTAAATATGAAGTTCAAGAAAGGCTATTAGCAATATTTAAATATTTCGATTAACTACTTCAAGCAAGCCTAAAATGGTTATGCTAGAAATAGTTCACGACAGTACTCAGATACCCAACTCACGACCTTTAAGTTTGCACTCTGTACTCTTTACCTTAACCATTCAGCTTGTATAAGACCTTAGATGGACACTGAATGCCTCGTTTGTTTAGTAGTTATAGTAGTGCAATTGCTGATCATGATCCTGGATTCGAATCCCGGCTTGGGCCAATAATCAATTATTGAGTTTTTCTGTCAAGAAATTCTCAGTAGCTGCCCGGAGTCAGGAAGTTGGCGGTGTCTCACCGCCGTGCCTCGGAAAGCAAAGCAAAGCCTCGCAAAGCCGTTGGTCCTGCGCCTGATCTCTCTTCGGCCGTGTCGTTTTACCATCCCATCGGATTATGAGAGTTAGGGAATAGACAGTGCATCTGTGCTTGCGCACACTTGTGCACTATAATCCTGTCCTGCGCTCATGGCTAGTCTCAGTTGAGGCAGGTCGCCGTGACCGAAATTCGGTCTGCAGAACATTATTATTATTATAAGACCTTATATAAGATATTATATAAGTTAGGGGGTAGTATGCCGTATATTTATATTTAAATAGCGATGCCGGCCAGGCCTGGGTAGGATCTATCAATGTGACGCCATTAATGTTTTTTAAATTATGTTCAATGACCATTTATTTTTTCAACTATTCGATCTCACAAAAGAACACTCCACGTTCTTCGGATAAATTATAGCTTAGGTCAGTATATCGTTGCTCTCTATCTGTTCGTGAAGCTGTGTCACAATCGGTTCAGCCATTCCATAGAGAGACAGACAACATTTTCAGAAATTTCATGTCATAATGGCATGCAAATACTCGCAATCACCTGAGCTCAATAAAAGGCAGTTAGTTATTTGAACATAACAGACAGATGCTTAAATTTTATTTATAATGTACCTATAGATTATATAAAACTACTTTTACGAATTTTATTTCGCTTAATTTGCTTAATTTTAGTACCCGACCTTGGGTTTAGTTTTAATTTTATTAATTACAGGATTTCAAGCTGATGGTAATACCCAGACTCCGTTATAGTATCCGGCCTCAGATGATAGACTACAAATCCTCGTGAAAGGACATCGATTCCTGTCAAGTATGATACGTGAGGATATTGAAATTAAAAAAATATTCCAATTTCAATAGAGAAGGAGGCTGGGTACAACCCGCTTGGGATCCTGAAATTAATAAAATTAAAGGTAAATCCAAGCATACCGCGGCAAGACTTTAAGACACAGTGAGTTTATTCTGCATAAATCGGACTAATAATTGAAAAGCTGAAGGTACTCCGCGTTATCTCTGACATGGGAATATCAATCACCTCAGTCCCTCGTGACCATGGGTGATGAAAGCGCCTGAAACGTCGGGTATTAAAATTAGAAAAATAAACGCGATAAAATCCGTAAAAGTAGTTTTATTAAATGTGCAATTTTTGCGTAAATTAAAGAAATCACTATAATGTATAGATTTAAAAGATAATATTTATACATTGTATGTGATTTGGTAAAAATTAATAAATTAATTATACATACACGAAAGTTGTAAACACGATGTCTACTGCTTCCCTAACACCCCTTAACCCCGCAGTCTCTGCGTTCAGTAATTAAAGGCTGAGAAGCGCGAGGCGCCTGCAGTATGGGGGCCACGGATCATATCACCTACGAATTAATCGGCCTGTGACGATTAATTAGCACCACCTGATCCCCGCAAGGTGTTATTTACTAACACGTGGTTTCCATAAACTAACTGAGTTTGTTAGAATTAAACAGAATTTGTATATATCCAGCATTGCTTTATGAATGACTGATAGAAAATAAATCGAATCTAATGTAATAATAATTCAAACAAAGTATTTTTAAATGTTGATGGCAAAATTTCAGGATTCGTACGTGTTATTTATTTCAATTTCAACTTTTTTACGTGATAGAGCCACGCTGCAGCTATATTATGGTTGTAGCATGAATGGGTCGGCTCGACCGGGGAAGGACCACGCTCTCACAGAAAACCAACGTAAAATAGCAGCTTAATGCTGCTGTATTTCGTATGGTGAGTGTAGAGAACCGGAGACCCGTTTTACTGGGATCGAGGCATTCCATCTTAGTCCTCAGGGGTGACAACGCATCTGCATTTTGATTCTTAATCGAATGTAGATGTCTATGGGCCACAGCATCCACTTACCATCAGGTGGACTGTGTGCTCGTGCGTCACCCTCATCCTATAAAAAAATATTAGATGGACTTTAATAGTTAAATTCCAAATTTAATGCCTAGCTAAAAATTTGGAAATACTGCTAGGTGCTTTTATTCTAGATTACTTCTTTCATTAAATCTTACATTCTTTATCTAAAGGAAATTAGCCCACTTAAAATACATGTCATACTGAAATTTCATCTCTTTGCGGCAAACTTCACGCGGGTACGACGTTTTCAAATTTTTAAATGCAAGCCCCATTTTTATATAGTTTCTACTATGATCGAAATTATAATTTATTCTATAAGAATCTGAACATTTTGTAGTTATTAGCTTGAGATTAGGTGTAAAAACAAGTGAGCTTCATTGCTGCGGTTGTGGTAAAAAGGCCAACATTCGGGGCCTTTTTTCTACATATGACTACGCATACCCGATTCATGGGGGCAAAGATGGGTTATGTCGAACACGCACCGATTAAAACATCAAGGTGATTCTTTCACATTCCACCTTCGCCGCAGGGCCACGGGAACACTTTCGCACATATCCGCGGGCCCACCAGCCGGCCGGCCGGCCAATTGCAGCCCCACCTCGGGAAAGGACTCTACTTCTCCCCTTCTCCTTATAAGTTAAGGCGCATCAGAACACTATGCACGCCTTCTTCCACGGCATCTAAATCCACCTAATCCGTAGACCATTGGGCCTTGAAAGTCGAGCACTCACCATCGCCAGTGTACCACGTCAACGGTGCGGTCCCGCCAGAGTCGTGGAGGATAGGGCGCATCGAGTACTACTATAGTACCTATGTTTATAATTTTGTAAATTACATTTTAATTTTTATTTGTATAATATTACAAATAGCGTTCCGTGATCGTGCCATCAGTTCGTGGATCAATTATACGATTGTTCTTAAAAGGAACAAAATAAGGCGATTCAAATAATTTTTCTTTAATCGCCTTTATCATCCGACTAGCGATACGCTCCGGTTTCGCACGAGTGCAGCGCCACCTACCGGATCCAAATGTGAATATAAACCATCCACGGACCCATTCAAACACATACAAAAAATCATCAAAATCGGTTGTACGGTTTCAAAGTCTTTAAGGGAGTTAGAATTTTGAACTTCGTATTTGGGTGACAGAACTTTGCCGAGACAATTTATGATAGTAAAATATCATTAAAAAAATTAAAGCTATATAAATAATAATGTCTTATAAAAATATTATACGAGTTGAAAAAAATTAGACGGTTTTATTTTCAAAGTGTATGTTTTTGTGAATCGTTTAGACATGCTAGATGTTACATTGAATTTGTGGTATTCCTTCGAGCTTAAGACCACTCACAACGGTAAAATTATTAAAATTTTAACAAAACTTAAAAATGGAACTCACTCAACTTTGCGACTATTTCAATATTAATAGTTCATAAGATTTTTAGTTCAGACTAGTTTTTGTTAACTTCCGTTTGAACTGCCATGTAGCACAGTTTTTTACAATATCTTTGGTTAATTACAGCTAAAAATTTAAGGAATTTCACAAAGTCATATACACCGAGAGGCTCCAAATATAATATTTTATAAACTTATATTCTTACTACAAAATATTGAAAATAAAATTATATTTCAATGAGTATATAAATTAAATCTAAAACATAATTTGCTTTTATCCTTATACAAAGTTACTTTCAGAGTTCAATAAAATTATAGCATCCTATTAACAATGAGCACGCCGTCCGCCTGACCCACAAACTGCAAATTCGAATTAAACATCATAAGAACAGAAACATCTTGCCAAGATCCTCTTCATTAGGTCCCGCAAATTGCGCGGGGGAGGTGCGATGCGCGGGGGCAGTGACACGTCCCCAGCCTCTCCACCGTCCCCATCTCGTGTCTCTCCCATCCTCTATTAATAATGCAAATGAGACCGCAGCGTGGCCAAGAAGCGAGTCTCGCTTAATTCCGGTTCATTTGAGGTAATTGTCGTTGCGAGTGCGGTTTGCGGTCCGGACCGGGCCATGGCACGTCCGCACATCTAATGTCTCTAAGGCCTGCTTTAATGGGCCACGCTTATGACTGTAATGAAATACCAGTTGTACTGTTTTGTTAAAGTTGCTCTCTTCTCTACAATACTATTCCTGTCTTGCTTACTTAATGTTTGAACAATATTGTTGTTAAGGATATTTTATGCAATTATTAAGAGGTTATGATTAAGCAGCTGCCATAGTGATTAATTGATTGCATATGTAAATTAGTTCATGTTAACATTTTTTTTACATTATACATATTTTTATTGCAGCCTTAATAAACTGAATAGTGTTTGCATCCCATTGTTATTTAATTATCTATTATAAAGCAAACCATAACTTAGGGCGGTTATTTACATTAAATGTGTTAGAAAATGCCTTAAGGCATACACAGACATTTTCTGACATAATCACGATTTTTGTTTCGTTTATAAAACATTTATCAATACAAAATCACTTCAAACATTTTGGAGGGTTATTATTTATGCTCAATCAATGTGTTTTTTTGATTTACTCTGCCTTTCGTCATATACTGGTGGAAAAATGATGTGGTTATAAGCAATGAAGTAAGCATCATAAATTTTCCCACACCATCATCTCAATAAATACATTACTACTTAGTCGGTCCACCAGACATAATTTTACCTACACCAGCGATTTTTTGCAGTATAAATATAAAATTTATTAATAACTCTACCACATTTCCCTCTGTTTAATCTAACATATTATTGTAAAAATGAGTTATTTTTTAGAATTATGGTGAACACACAGTCCACCTGATGGTAAGTGGATGCTGTAGCCCATAGACATTTACATTTATCCTCGATTAAGGATCAAAATGCTGATGTCTTGTCTCACCCATGGAAGGCCTCGTTTCCAGTAAAAAGGGTCCGGTTCTCTACACTCACCATACGAAACACATCAGCTTTAAGCTGTTATTTTACGCTGGTTTTCTGTGACAGCGTGGTCTCTGGTTGTTATTTTGAGTTGTTATGTCCGTCTTTTAGTATATATAATTTTTTTTAAAATTAATAAAATTTGAGAAACAAAACTAATAACTTATAATTGTAAAATATTTTTGTTGATACGGAAAGAGGACAATATTCTACGCATCAAGTTTGTTGTAAGTCGTAGCGCACAGCTACGATCGATACGAATTCCACACATTTCAACGCTACAGCTTTTCAATTTTACTACGTTTATTTTTATAATGCTATTCTTTATCACTTTTTATTTTTATAAAACATATACCATTGTTATTACAATGTTTTCATATTAAGATTATGTCATGGAGTGTTTTGTATCACAGTATAAATATTAAATAATGCAGAAAGTTTCCTGCTTTGAATTTACATCCCAAAGTTAAAGTAAAAAAAATTAAAGTGAAAATACATTAAAACAATAATAGTTATTATTATACTTATTATTTTCATATATTTATTATTACTTAGTAATATGTAATTTATTTTATTTTATATTATATATTTTAAGTATTTTTACACTTCAATCAGAAGACTCCTACTCCCAATTCTAATATTACTAATAATACAAAATTAAAACCCCTACAAAATTGTGTTCTAGTGTAAAATAATTTTTTACATAAAACAAACTTGATATAAAATGGTTAAGCATTATAAATTTTGTTCATGAACAAAATAATTCTGCTAATTAAAACGACTTTGTGTACACACGAAAATAAACAAAAGAGGCGTAGGTATAAAATTCATTTCATTGCAGGCTTGTAGGTAGGTAACGCGGGCGAGGGTGCGACACACCAGAAGGGAAACAAAAATGGCGGCTTTGAGCAACCTCCGTCTTACTTTATTCAATATTTCATGTTCGTGTTATTTTAGCTTATATATTTGGAATAGACTGGAATATTTTTAACCGATATGGATTACAAATGATTGTAATTGAAAGTAACTTTTTACTTTTACCGATGGTTTAGAAAAAAACCTTTGTTGTGGGATGCACCAGTGAAATACCAGTAGGACTTTCTTTAGGAAGAGTCAAGAGTCAACATAAAAAAAGTTAGACAATTATTTATTAAACTAATTTAAGAAATAGCTTGGAAGCGATCACCCCATGTCCAGGGGTTCTTATCAACCATGTTGTCATTTATTATGAAAATCCTTTTTATAAAAGCTTTGTTTAGAAAAAAAAAAATTAAATTTGTAGTAAATAGACCTTGTACATTTTCTGGGACATTGTTGTAACAGCGTAAAACTTGTCTAATAAATGATTCTCTATGGATCAGGGTAACTGGTATTTACGAGTATGACTTCAATGGAGTAAAAGTTAGTTTAGATTATTTACAATATAGGGCTTTTATCACATATTCACGTTGTGAACCATGCTACAGCATATTGTGATTGTAGCTATAGGAGAATACCAGCGTAAAATAGCAGCATAATACAGATGTGTTCCTATAGTGAGTGTAGAGAACCGGAGACCTTTTTTACTGTATACGAGGCATTACATCTTAGTCCTCGGGAGTGGCAACCCATCTGCATTTTGATTCTTAATGGAGATGTCTATGGGCCACAGCATCCATTTACCATCAGGTGAACTGTGTGCTCATTTGTCACCCTTATTCTATAAAAACACTAGTTACTTTTCTTTAACCGATTAAACTGAAATAGGAACTGTTTACTTGGTTTTTAAATGCCATAAACTACCTTATAAATTCCTCTATCAATGTAATGCGAAATCACAGAATCAGAATTAATAGCTCTTTTTTTCTTATAGTACAATTTAATATCAAAATCAACAATATTTTAATTTTATTGCTAGCTTGGTCCTTCCTAAGCACTCCTTGTAAAATTTTTCCATAGGCATCACGCTGGACAGTCGTGAGAGGTGGCATTGTGCATACTTGCAATATTTTTTATAAAACCGAAGTAGCAGAAGAAATTACAGCCACCTGTTAAGTATGTAGCTACTGCAGTGCAGAACACTTGCAGCCAACTTCAAATAAATGAGGCTATATATACGTTGTCGCCTCTGAGGATTAAGGTAGAATTCCTCACAGGCTGTAACTATGTATACCCTACACTACAGTGTTCTATACAGTGCTATTTGGAGGCAAAAGTATCCTACAAACTAATATTTTTAATAAAAATTAAAGTAACAGTCTATATGCGTCCTATTGCTGGCCACAGGCCACCTCTCACTTCTGAGAGGGTTTTAGCTCAAGGAAGTCCGCCAACATGCGTTGGGGCAGCGCGGCGGATTGGCAGACTTCACATATCTTCAAAAATATTTTTTTAAATCATCAGAAATGCAGGTTTCCTCACAATGTTTTCCATCACCGCTGAGCACGTGGTAAATCAGCACTTAAAATTGCAATCAACAATTTTATTAGCGCCGGCGGGGACACTCGAGTTGCTCGAGTACTGTGAAATTTACAGCGAGTGCTAAGCCATTCTGCTACCATGACTCAATCTTTTTATTAACTCTAATTTAATTCAAGCATTATATTTCACAGCTGGTCTTCCATACAAGATGTACGGTGGCAACGAAGGTTCTTTAACGGAGAAAAGAAAGCAGCGGCGTATCAGGACCACTTTCACATCCGCACAGTTAAAGGAGTTAGAGCGGGCGTTCCAGGAGACGCATTACCCAGATATCTACACGAGGGAAGAAATTGCAATGAAGATTGACCTCACGGAAGCGAGGGTACAGGTATGTTACTAAAGTAATTATCATTTAAAAGTAAACTCACATTTTTAGTTATTATAATTTAATGGACGCAACGAATTAATCTGTTTAGCATAGTAACGTCGATAAAAGTGAAAATACTAGAGATGCCTGTAGTGGTATTGACTTTTTATATTCTTAAGACTGCAGCTTTTATATTCTTAAGACTGCATAAGACAGCACAGCTGTACGGGCACTGCTTTTAGGCTGCAGAAATATGTACTTACCAAGAATCCTAGACAGTAAATCCTACCACCTATAATTATAGTAGACATATTAGTAAGTTTTTGTATATCTAAAAGAATTGAAATTTTATAATTTCCAACAGGTTTAGATAGTTAAGTTTCGGGGGTGGCGTTAAAGCTTTTTAAAAACAGTTAAATATGTTTCGGTGACATTTATTACTATTTCATTAAAATTATAAACTAAAACTAATTCAGCGCAGTACTGACTTCCTTAACTAAGTGATTACATGACTACGATGAGGACTATAATAATAATAAATAAATAAATATAAATGTTTTTTTTCAGGCATTGTAGGCCCATAGCATGTTAGTAATAATAATGAATCTAATTCTAAATGCAACGTCTTTTATAGGGTGGTCAAAACAAGGCTGCTGACTAAAAGTACGACACCTTGGTTGGACTAGCAGTGACATTTATACAACGTTACATTTCATAACATGTTGTGATTAGTCTAATATCAAAAGCTTAGTCTACACTATTCGGGATCAACATGTTAATGTAAACTTATGGCTACTTGTAAATATCACGTTAACGACTAATCTAATATTAAAAGCTTAATCAGGACTTTGAAATGAGCAGGTTATTATGATATTACGGCTATCTCCGGACTGCATAACTAGATTGATTGTTTATATTTAAAAAAATAACTGATTAATTTGTATATGTATAAAGTTATAATTTATGATTGTTCACGAGAGGAAAGGCATGAAATATTAAATGTGAAGGCGAACTAAATGATCGAAACTAGCTTAACCAAAGGTATACGATTACGAGTATTTAGTTTATACAGCAGTTTACTCTGTCGGTTCAGAAAAACAATTTTTTTCACCATACGTTACAGCATTTTCGTAGTCCAATTAATGTCTCGTAATTTGGCGTCGGATGACGTGAGCTGAAAAAAAAAGACGTTTCTCGGTTAATGCACACAATTTCATAACAGGTCCTTATTTTTATGAAAGTCGGCCGGGCGACGTGTGATGGTGAATGTTTAATGCGATTCTGATAGGAGAGCGGCACCCGGAGCCAGATCTGATCACGTATCAAACTTGCAAGTGACTCGCCGGCGACGCGGCTTCGATTATTTAATATTCTTGAAGAAGTAGCTCTTGGCATTACGAATTTCTCTTTTCGTATAACACAAAGTTCGTTTCGGTTTCTGAATTATTAAAATCAAAACGTGACGTATAAAGATATTCATGACTTTGAGTTCTCTATGTTTTACAATGACAATTTGTGTATCTATAATATATTAGTTTTATTTATTTAGATTTTTCTATTATTTTATTGTAGTAAGTAGTGATTTTACGAATTATCGTTGATTTTAGACCCAGTTTGCAAAATTTGTAGATTATTCAATGAGTACTAATTTTCCAATTTACTAATAGTACCTGGATGACCGAGCTTTGCTCGGTTTTTTTTGAAATTACATTTATAAATTACATACTGATGAAACTTAAATAATATTTTTTGATCTTATTGACAGAATAGAAAAAACTGAACTGATTATTTGAATAAAAAATCATGAGTGCAATTAGTTTTATTAAAATTTTCGTATTTTTAAAAATTACTAAAAAAGGCCTTGAAATAATAAATTAATTTTTCTCACAAAAAGAAGGGAACTTGAAAAAAAAAAGGAAAAAAGCTAGACCAGAGACAGGACGCGAACCACGGTACTCCGATATCACGCCCGACCGACATCCCACCTCTATATTGTAGCAGTTTTTTTATTGCCTGAAAACACGGACAAAAGGACATTTCCTATAAATAATACCTAGCTAGATCGATTTATTGCCCCCGAAACTCCCTGGACGGAGCCGTTTCCGAGATTCCGATTATATATATATATGTATATATATATATATAAAAAAATATATAGATATATACAAGAATTGCTCGTTTAAAGGTATAGGATAATAGGTACTAATGACAATTGCCGCAGTAGATCAGGGGCTAAGCGCCCACAATACGCGAGTAACCCGGGTTCGATCCCCGCGAGCACCAACGATTTTACGCATTGTTAATTGAATTTTCAAGTTTTGATTTACCACGTGCTCGGCGGTAAAGGAAAACATCGTAAAGAAACCTGCATGTCTGAAATAAGAAAAAGCAATATCTCGAAGACATGTGAATTTCGCCAACACGCATTGAGGAAGCGCGGCGGACATTTCCTTGCCCTAAAACCCTCTTAGATATGAGAGAAGGCCTGCGCCTAGCAGTGGTACGTATATGGGCTACTAAAATATTATTTTTTTATTTTCTTCGTGATAGAGTCGTATTTTGCCTTCAAGTATTAAATACTTATAGATAATATGACTGTAAATAATATAAAAAGTAAACACTGCTATGTAACCGCCCCGAATGGCATCGAGCGCTCATTACATTAAAAAGTGTATCGGAATGGCTGTACGGGGCCCGCCATAAATATCAGAGGCGGTCGCGTAATTCAGGCGCGCGCGACTCCCGATAATTAAAACTCGCCTGGAAAATGCGAATTCACATACACAATTAAAATTGGGCAAAAGCCTGAGGTAAATGTTGTAGTTATTTTATTGTTTTTGAACGTGCAGTATGAATTTATATTATGCACGTGTGGTTAAGGTTTCGGACATTGTTGAATGTTTTTTTTTAACCTTTTTTTTGCTGATACATTTATTTCGATCCTGCAATCAGTCACAAACATCAAACAATGCTTGTAATAGCAATTTGTATATAGTGTTTTTTATTCCAGTACTCTAAAAGAAAAATAAAATAGATTAATAGTAACACGTCATCGTTGAAGCCACACGCAAGTGTGAGTAATGATCCAAAAACAAGTCTTATCCTATACTATTGCGATGATATCCCGGACGTCAGTCTGAGCGAGATTAGAATGCCTCTTCAGCACCTCAAAAACAGCAAGTCCCCGGGCGAGGATGAAATCATACCGGAGCTTCTGAAAGTGGAGGGAAAACCGGCACTTGAAGTCCTTCAAAGCTCTTTAATTCCGTCCTCCATGGTGGCAGTACTCCGGAGGGGTGGAGCCGAATTACGGTGGTCTTGTTTCTTAAGAAAGTTGACAACACTCTCTTAAAGAACTACAGACCGATTTCCCTTCTGAGCCGTGTCTACGTGCTGTTTTCGAGAGTCATTACGAATCGTCTCGCACGCAGACTCGACGACTTCCAGCCTCCCGAACAAGTCGATTTCCGAAAAGACTTTAGTACTATTAGACCATATACATATCCTTCGGAAAATTGTACAGAAGACTGAAAAGTACAATCTGCCACTTTGCCTGGCGTATGTGGAATATGAGAAAGCCTTTGATTCCGACGAAATTTGAACGGTGATATAGTCCCTTTAGCGATGCCAAGTCGGTATATCGAAGTGCTGAAGTGTTTATATAATAGGGCTTCGATGACTATCTGAGTACAGAAACCTATCCAACTGCAGAGAAGTGTAGGACAGGGTGACATTATATTCCCGAAACTCTTCACCGCTACGTTGGAGCTATTGGACTTGAAAGTCGTAACATCAATGTCGAGTACGTCACTCACCTTCGATTTTCCGATGATTTAGTACATATGGCAAAATCGCTGGACGACCTAATCACTATGCTCAGTGACCTCAATAGCGCCTTCCAAAGGATAGGTTTTAAGATGAACATGGACAAAACGAAAATCATGTGTAACATCGAAGTCACACCTATGCTGGTAGTTGTTGGGAGCCCTAAGCTCGAAGTTGTTGACGAGTATGTTTACCTGGGACAAATAGTCCTAAGTAAGTCCAACTTCGGCCGAGAGGTCAACCGACGGATTCAACTCGGCTGGGCAGTGTTCGGGAAACTACGACACATCTTCTCGTCAGCTATATCTCAAAATCGGAAAACGAGACTGTAAACCAGTGCCTATTGCCAGTGATGACTTATGGAACTGAGTCGTGGTCCTTCACTGCTAGCCGTATGAAGACGCTCAAGGTCGCTTAGCGAGCTATGGAGAGGGCTAAGCTCGGGGTTTCTCTGCATGATAAACTTAGAAATGAGGATATCAGCAGTAGAACCAGAGTGACCGACATAGCCTAACGGATTAGTAAGCTGAAGTGGCAACGACCGGCTACATAGCGCGAAGAACCGAAAACCGATGGGGAAAAAAGGCACTTGAGTGGCAGCCCCGTACCGGTAGGCGAAGTGTAGGGCGACCCCACACTAGATGGAGTGACGACATGGTAAGACATGAAATAAGTCGATGGATGCTGGTGGCTCAGGACCGTGCTTTGCGGGATTCCTTGGGGAAGTCTTTTGTTCAGCGGTGGTTCATTGAAGGGCTGTAATGATGGCGATGATGAATAGTATATATAAAAGTAGTTAGTTTAATATATGTTGTAACAGCCCATTAAACTCACCGCTGAACACAGGACTCCCTATAGATTGCTCTCCTAGGGGTATATTTGCCATAGTTGCCACGCTTGGCAAGCGGCTTGACAAATACATTTTTTATTTTTAGTCATTAATCATTATCAGGAAGGCGCTGCTGCGCATCTCCTGATTTCTTTTCCTCTGTCACCTCTTACGATAGTCATGGGATACTATTACTATATGGCAAGTTTAATATACTATAGAATTATTAAACTTACCGTGTGTAGATATGTGGATGTGAAAAAAACAAGAGAGGTGTGTAAGGACCATGTCAAATGCAAGTCCTTAATCTTTGCCGTCCTTCTGGGTGGCAGACGGGGAGTTGTGTGTTGTGTTATGCTTTTTCTACCGACTTCAAAAAGGAGGACGTATTCAAATCGATTATATGTTTTTTTTACGTGTGTTACCTCGGAACTTTTTTCTGGGTGAATCGATTTTGATAATTCTTTTTTTAACTGAAAGCGGGGGCTTCTCTTTTGGTTCCAAATAAATATAATCAAGATTTA